GACTTAGAGGGAATCGATCAGAGCTAGACTATAATCCTCTGATACTTCCAGAAAAGCATCCAATGACAGACCTGATTATAACACCATTRTCGCATACAAAACGGACACGTACCCTGAATTTGTACTTTGGATCACTCTATGTAATAAAGATCGGAACATGGGAAGCAAGGGTGGCGGAGTGGTGTGAGCGCCGGCCTGTCACCGCTGTGGTCCCCGGTTTGGTTCTGGCTTGGGATCATATGTGGCTTGAGTATGTTTCCGTTCTCTCCCTTGCTTCGAGGGTTTTTTCTCCGAGTTCTCCGGGTTTTCCTCCCTCACCAAAAAACGGAACATTTCGATCCTAGCTGTGCTCCGTGATCAGATATGGGTAGGTTGGTAAGCTGCTTTGTGTGTGTGTTGTAACTATGTGATTGTCCTCATAATGATAGCGCCCTCGTAGCATAACCGACTCGATCACGTGAGCTGCGTCCTTCATCATTCAGCACTCGGGCTGCAAGGAAGGGTGATTAGCTATCACCAATTTATTTTTATTTTTAATTACCAGAAACTAGATCTTCAAACAGTAACCAACTTTTGAACAAAAGATATGGATGGTTCAGTATACTTGTCTTAGCTAGATGCCGAGTAGTACATATTTAAGGTAGCACAAGACTTATCTCTGGCTTTTTGATAACTGCAGTCCTACGTTATGTCAGTCGCGACGAGGGACGCTGAGAGCAGTGATTTGCATAGTGACAATGAGACAAATTTTAGATGTGCAGATGTTAAACGTCATTAAAGCACTGAAGACTTGGAACCAGGTGGAGATACAAAGCAAGGTGGATCACGTGGTATTAATTGGAAATTTAATCCACCAGCTGCGAGACATATGAGCGGTCTTGGAGCATTTGAGTTGCTCAATTTTATTCTTCACTCGTGATTGGCGAATTCGTGAGAGACTCATGAATTATACAGAGGACACATCTTACTGAAGTTGAGAAAATCATGAATGACCAATCAATTACCAACACTGATTTTTATGTAGACAAGGACTTAGGCTATGAGGTCAAAATACAAATAATTAGAAACTTTTCTGTGAAAAACTGATTACAATTCTGGGTTGTTATAACAGAGTTTACACATTTTTTCATTATTTTCCAGCTTGGCCATTTTGTTTGGTTTTTACTACTTTTGTTATTTTTCTATATGATATCTTTGACAAGAAATACAACAGGGCTTATTCTTGTTAATTTCCTTTAGCTAAAAATTTTGGCACTTCTATAAAGCTCGTCAAAAAATGTTTACATTCCTCAAACACACTGACATTAAAAAATCATGGTCCTCTCCACAAATTAAGCACCACCTTACCCTAATTCAAACCCCTAACCCGCCCCCTCCCCTCCTCCTCCCCTCCCCCTCCCACCAAAATAAATAATGGATACCCTAATGGCTACTTTTGCTCGATCCTCCCCTCCCCCTCCCACCAAAATAAATAATGGATACCCTAATGGCTACTTTTGCTCTATTTAATAACTTCTCTTTGAACAAAGAACAAACACAAGAGAAGTAGATTTGAATTGCCCAAAGATCATTTTCAATCGCCCAAAATTCGCTTTATTATTTGAGTGGTTTTGTGAAAGATTTGATAAAATCGCACAAAGTCTTTTAGAGGTGTGGGGGAATTTGGTGCCGAAGTCAAGGGCTTGCACTATAAATAGCTTTTCTACCCTGCATATATACCTCATCTAGAGTCAAATATGTGTCAACACTTTCAAAAAATTCGACTAACTAATTAAAATCTTGGATATCACGATTCAATTGAATTGTCATATTTTCCTGTCACTTTCATGCACTCAAAAAATGTACACTAATTTAAAGGGCTCGGTCCATCCTATAACATAGACTAAAACAACATACCGCGCCATACAGTTGCCAGATGGAGTACGAGCTTATGCGGGACCCGGTCCCGGATGTCAAGATTCCCAGACACACGCGATCCTAAGGTTGAGGTTATGTATTGTCATTATATCTCACTGTCAAGGAGTGATCTATAAAAGAATCCATACCAGTATTCGACTAAATGTACGGCACGGTGTTCTCGATGGTGTGGTCGCTTTAAGTGTCTAGTGGCCATTCCAGCCATTTAGTGCAAGCTACAGGAGCACTAGTTAGTCGGACTAGCCGAAGGCTAGGTCGACTTGAATTTTACCTTTTAGTCAATCTATCTGTTTATCATGTCGCGTTTGGACCACCGGCAGTTAAGAATTTAATAACTAACTATTGGGTTGGCTGTGTTATTATATGACCGGAAGATTAGTCGTATGCTACTTGCGCTTTTATATGATAAAAAAACTATTCGTTTACAAATGTGGTATCTGTGATCTCATCGGAATGCATCAGTCTAGKCATCAKAAGTATGCGCATGTGCAGCTCGCATGGTGCTTCGAGTAGTATGCTTATGAAACTAAATCAATGACCTTTCTAGCGTTAGGCAGTCTTGTTTGGGCAAAGATTTCAAATTAGAACAAGAAGAAACTTTGTTCATCAATCTTTAATGATTTTATAGGTATCATTTACTTTGTAAAGTATTTATTTTCTTGGCCTGAGAGGTCAACGTATTAGATTTCATGATATCACTTAGCGACATTTTGTCTACCTACCACGTTTGATTTTATCAGTAAAAGCAAGGACTCTTTTAAAACGTTCATATCGGTGTTAATTACATTCAATTACATGACCTTTTAGGTCAAGTTTATCAAAGTCTCAAGAGAGTTTGGATATTTTGAACTAGACGCTCTTATTAGACCGTGAGTTCGGCTATTTTGGAGAAAAATTGAGAAATATATATTTTAATCTAAGTCCGTAAAGTGGCCCTATCATAATTAAAATAGTGGGAAGGGGAGATTTCTTACGTAACTGATTTTGAGAAGTAACATATTATTTCTAACCACAGGTAAAGAGTGTAGATTCAAGGTCATTCACCCTGTGATGAAATAAAACCGGATCGTATGGATTGAATAATTTTTGGGCTGCCTATGTTAACGACCCTTTTCGTCACAAATTATGCAAATTAGCTACAGTAGGTTTCATGTTCCGACTAGAAAATAAAGACGAAAAAAGGCAAAATTATACGTATACTTCTTTAAAAAAAAGAAATGAATGAAAATTTAGAAATGAGGGAAAACTGTGCGCGCTGACAACTYCAATTRCAAAAAAGGAAAAAAATTAATAAATTGTTTTTGACTTGCTCTACGTGGATGGWATACCGCTAATTCATCCTACTGGGTGGCCTGTGCGTAAACAAGTAAATTTTGAATAGAAATGAATTTCCAGCTTGCTCATACAAAGTAATAAAGAGCACTGTTGTGGTCTGTGCAAAATTGAAAGTCCCCTTTATATAATGGCTTTATTGATGTCAACAAACTTAACCTATAAAACGAACAGGTCTGCGACTGTCATGCAATTCGAGAACACACGATTGTGATTGGCTATTCTTCCTTGAAGGCCTACAAAAGGCGACTAAGCGGGGGAGGAGACAGTGTGTGGAATTTCAGTCCGGCGGCAAAACAGTGCTCACATTATGCAGTAATCTGGTGGTCTATCTCTCTAGCTAGTCGATAGTTAGACAATTGCACAGTTAGTTGCAGTGAAATGATCAGCAAAGAGATTGCAATTTCATGGTTTAAGGGACTTTCAGGAGATGATCGTATCGATTTAATGTGTTTGTTGCTTGACTACTGCCTGCCTTTGGAGCTTCGCTTTATCGGCACTTACTTGGAGTCCGCTGCTCAAAAAGATTATTACGGTTTTCGAACTTGTGAAAGTGCGGCTAACAATCCAAATGACTTGACTTATTTGTATCCATTGGAAGACATTACTATACGAAGACGATTGTGCCTCTATGTTGCCCTTCTACATTCAACCAACCGTCAGGCCGCCGCGGTGGTGTTCGGCATACTCAGCGATTTTCAGCCTTCGGGAATTCTCGATGATGAACTATTGACAGAAATCTCACTGCTTTACACTCTAGCAGCAAATCATCCTGCATTTTCTTTTAATCAAAAACATGTTTTGCGTTCGAAACTAAAGTGTATTCGTTTGCAGTCTRTTAGCACAACTTCAGATCTCGGAGAGGTAGGCCTATTTATTCATCAAGTGAACAAGCAAGTGGTTATGTGCGGTAAACCGTTATAAGTCTTAAGTTAATTTTTTTTTTTACAGACAGTTTCAGATTGTAGTACCGGCAGTTCTTTTCAAGACACCGATCCCATGGACAGCCCACGCTCACCGAGCTCTCCTTCTCTTGAGCTACAAGAACCCATTGCAAAAAACGAAAAACACGAGGAATATTTGCCTCCTTCAATCCCTGAAAATCCCCCAAAAGGTATGTCAATTTGTGGTTTTACATCAATGGCAAAATTTTATTTCTGAAACTTTAAGGAATTTTCGTGGTGTGAGCTGACGATTAACGGCGTGTTTATATGTGTTGTGCAGACAGATGACATATTGTTATCAACAGGCATAGTGAGAAATCGCGGTAACTTTATACCAGCTCGAGCTCGCAGATCCAATTTCGTCTGCATTTTTATGCTTCAAAAAATTCTGCGTTGACTATTTAGTTCCATGGAAGTCTCCGAAAATCAAAAAGAAAATGTGTTCATTGTTACGATCGCTATTTTATTATTCTCACTTGTTAATTGATGCACTGCATTTGATTTTACTTCAAAACAACTTCCTTCAATTTCAACTTAATTTTATTGCCTCGACTTTTTGCATTGTTCTTATTTTAAAGCATTGAAATTACTCTTTCATAAAATACGATTCATAACGAAAGTATTGTTCTTGGTAAAAAAAGACCAATTTTGTATTTCACATAAAAATACTTAATATGTTTTTGATTTTCCCCCTGTAATTCTGTTGTAAAACATATAGTGAACTGAAGAGGTTTTAATAAACTAAACTAGTTTTCACTATTCTTGGTAGTCCCTGGCCTGTACGTACGAAAATCATTATGTTGGAGTGATTTACATTTGTAAAGTTTATGGCTGTTATAAGATTTTTTGAAGTCTCGGCGAAAGCTATTTGTCAAAGAATTCTATAAGGCCTTACTACAAATGACGAATTGTTCTTGCTTGTTTTCACATACAATAAAGGCTTTTTTGTTTTTGATATCATTTTACATAGCAAACAATATACCTTTGTTGATACTTTTAATCCTAAAGTGTTGGGTTAAAAGGTTCTTGCATGACAAGCACAGCTCTTTTATGTCTATCAATCCTTGAACTTTTCAACTTAAGTTAAAATATAAAGTACACAAGTTTGTTAAATTCATTTAATGCTGTTAATTAAGATATTTTCTCTGTAATAAATAAATGAATATTGACATAATATGATCAGGATATTGTTGTCATGGTTACAGTTCAATCAGATATGCCCTGTGATGCGAAGGCTAGAATATTAATGTAGTTTTAGTGAGAAGTTTATATTCTCCATAGTTTTTTCATAAGATTCTACTAATATTCAATTATCCAAGTGACAACATCTCAGAAGATGTTATCTCAATAATTGAAAATGAAGTGTTAGCTTGCATACCTGGTATGTCATTATCAGTTTGATCTGATAACACACTATAAAAATTTTGTTTATTGTTCTTCATAAACATCATACAGAAAGTTTCACTGACATCATTAACAGCACAACAGCCTTTTTTTACCCATAATATCTCCTTTCTAGACAAATATAATTAATTAAGACTTTTGAATGGATTCGTGGGAGATTACTTCTGTGAAAAATGGGTGAACTTTTGTTTTGTTTTGTTTGTTTGTTTGTTTGTCTTGTGTATTTTAGGGGGGAGCATTAGAGAATAAAGTTGTTAAACTATTCAGAATTCAGTAAGAAATTTGCTTTTCTACAAATTACACATTATATATATAAAGTTATTTGAAGAATTTTTCAAATTAACAATGTGATCCAGATCATATATTAATATATAGTGCTGAATATGGTATAGTGAACTACATGTTAATTGTTCATGAGGCCGTACTTGAGACCAAAAATGAGTCAATAAAAAATACTGCAATAAAAAAATGCTGTATTCTCTGTATTTCAGCCAGGTTGTGTGTACAGTAGTGTTTTCATTGTTTATCTGTGTATAGTGTTTAACACTCCAAACATTTAATTTATACAATATCATGTAGTCATCTCAAACCAACTTGAACTCCCCTATATTCGCTATACAGGGACGTGCCGCCAACAAGGGTATCATTTTCAGCAATTTTACTCTGGAACAGGGTATCGATTTTAACGAATTTTCTCTGGAACAAGGTCAGGGTTTAATTCCTGAATTATTGATGCTGGGTAAAAATTCGGTCTATACGCAAGCTAGTACAGGATTTTCTCTGGAACAGGATTTCGTTTTCAGCGATTTTACTCTGGAACAGGGTATAGTTTTCAGCGATTTCACTCTGGAACAGGATCAGGGTTTTGACGTCCCAGCGGCACACCCCCACCCAAGTTTAGGGGGGCTTGAACTGCAGACAGGAAGTAAATGTAGGATCTAAATAATTGTTGGATTATGTACTAGTATTACAGTCATTGGAAACTTGGATGGGCATTATGATTCAATATGACTGTTATTTTCCATTGTTATGCAGTTTATGTAAAAGAACTGAAAGTCATCAATATCCAGAAGAAAGGAGAAACCAAACTAAAACATGAATCAAAGAAAAAAGAAGATTATGAATACATAATTGAGGTAAGCCACAAGCTAGGATTACTGAGAAACAAATAAGACTTAAACAGCAAAAGAAGTTATGTGCTTTGGTTTACTTTCAGTATATATGCATAGTTTAAATATTTAACTCAGWCAAAAATAGGTTTTTGTGCATCCTGTAGTTAATGAATTGCGCTAAAACAGTTCTTTTCATACATCAGCACTCACTTTCTATCAATAATTACTAACTATTATATATAATAATAAATATAATTGCAATATTTATCTTCTGATACAATTATGATTGYAGGTTGCCTGGTCTGATAACACCAACGACAGGATACACAAGTCCTATGAAGAGATGTTTGACTTCCARTGTAAAGTAAGTCAGATGTTATTTTTGAAATGTGGATAAGAAGTAATGTATAAACATTATTTTAAAATTTATTGGAAAATTATGCAYAAGAAGGAAGTAAACAGTAAACAAGTAGCCTGTGTAGCAGCCCTAAGGGGATTTGGCAGGGCAAGCAGGGAGTKAGGAGGAAAAATAGGAAGGGTATGCATCAGAACMCCACRGTTTTACAAAATCTACATAACATGGAATATGGACTTAAATTCTCCATTGGYCGAGAGGAACAAGCTGTCAATCAAATGTCAAAGTGATAGATACCAGATAAAGTTGGTGTATTTACCAACATGGCAGGCGATGAAGAAGGATTTCGTTTGATATACTAATCAAGGAAGAACAGCGACAAGATTTGGCATGGACTTTGGCCTGGACTTTTTCCTGTTGGTGTTAAGAATTTTYGTTTAGAAGAACCTTTAAGGGTGTACTGACGTATCCGTTTCTAGACGACCTGGTTGCTATGCTAGCCGATGCTAG